TTTTTTTTCCTTTAGAAATGTCAGTTTTGCTGCAGCAGGTTCTATACATCATACAGATTTGCCACTTTACAGGCAGGTTAAGGGGACCCCCCAGGCATGATTTTTAAAGGAAGTTTTCATTTTTATTGTTACCCTTTGATGTTAAAACCACTGCTCCTTTAAAAACAGCATTTTTTTTTGAGGCCCGAGCTCACAACCTCGGCATTATAAGTAGTAAAAGTAGTAAAAATGGCATTTTTAAACAGTTTTTTTTCCCATTGATTCCAGTCCCCCAGGGCAGTACCTGAATCCCTATACACCTTTTATGTCCAATAACCTGCATATACGCCCTCTTAAAGGGGGACAATTGTTTTTGAAAGTTCTACTCCCATTGACTTGCATTGAGTTCGAGTTCAAATTCAAACTTTTTGGGTGTTCTAAAGTTCGAATTCAAACCGAACTCGGGCCCATTACTAATCAGGACGCTCAAACAGAGAGAGAGAGGTTGATGGGTTATATGGAGTCCATGTCTACTGAGGTCCTGTCCCAAGAAAGGACAGACTCAGGTACGCTAAAACAGGAATGTGGCCTAAAATGTTATAAGTCCTCCTGGGGAATAGCAGTGAGAGAGAGAGATGCTTGCAGAGTAGCATCTGGAAAAAACGTTCTTTGTTTTATGTATTCCATTTCTTAGTCATACTTATGGTCAACATAACAGTCATATAATAGTCATTTTTAGAAAGGATGAGAAATGGCGGTTGCATATATTTTTAAAGGGTTTCCTTAAAAATTAACCAATATTTTTAAGATTCACATACTGTATTTAAGAACACTGAGTACTGTTGCAAGTCTACTAATAAGGCAACAATCATCTTAAACATATTAAAAGATTATTCCTAAAGCAAAGATGCATGAGTATGATCTTAATAAAGTAGCTCCACATTTCATTGTGTGTGTTATTGATGGCTAATAAGATATTACATTTTTTTAGACGTAAATATAGCAGTAAATATCATGTGAACAGTTTTGTTAAGTGTTTTTTAATGTGAGAAAACAAGGTGATGTCGAGAGATTCCACCTTCTTGTAAGTTTGCTCATTCCTCCCATAAAGATTGATCCGGTTACACCAGGCAAGTTGAAAATATTTACTTGCTCAGGTCACATAAAAGTGACATCACTGTAGCTCACAGTTCATATAAAATGCTATCTTTGGGCAGTAGCTAAATCATTTAAAGAACTGGTTGACCTGTGTATTGTTCTTGCTTCTCGAGTGAATTGTGGAAGCATCATGAGTTACAAGACCTTCCAACCTTTTCGTGGGTTCTACAGAGCTGGTAGGGAATATCTGGGTTATCCCATGTACAGAAGCCACACATCTTCATCAGATGTAAAACCAAAACCATATATCTCTCATAACGTACCTTACTACAGAATACACCAAGTTCATGTAGGATCTGGAGGCTCAGGTATCAGGCACTCATCTTCTGGTCAGAGAGATGTCATGGGAAATGCTCATGGATTTAATAGAGATCATAAGATCAGACAGTCTTCAAACCGCACTGGCTGGACCAACAGCAAACTGTTCAACTTTGATGAAAAGAAAACCATGCAGTCACTAAATGGCCGCCTGGAATCATACTTGGAGAATGTGAAACAAATGGAAGAGGAAAATGTGATAATAGAGAAGAAGATCTGTGAATGGTATGAAAAACATTCTGGCATGGTCTACCCGGACTTCAGTTCATACCTCCACACGGTCACTGATCTTCAGGATCAGGTAAGATATAATGCACTTGTCTTATGTAAGAATGTGAAGAAAAAAATATAAAAATAAGGGTACAATGGGCATGTCTGCTTTCTAAATGTTCCTGCTTAACATATTAGACCAGCCACAACTTTTTTTTTTATTTGGATGGAGTAGTGAAGGATTTGTTCAGTTTTCTTATAGTGGAACATCTGTGACAAAGACACAGACAATAATAAGATGGCTGGTGTTCTAGTCTTCCCTATTCTACCCCCCAAAAATATCCTTTTATTTCTACATTAGTTTTTATAGCATATTGTTCCTCACTTCCTGTCTAGTGAAACGTATCAATAGGACAGGAACTGAAGGGACATCTATCCAAAGAAGACCCGGATAGCAGTGAAAACCTCATAGGGTCTTTATTCTTCCCCACTTTATCCAAAACTGGAAAAATGTTTGGCCATAGGAACACTTTAATCACATGGCTTATCTGTTGTTTTTTTTGGCAACTTTAGTTAGTACAGGATGCACCTGTATTTGTTTTTCTAAGTCCATATTAAATTGGCATTTTATATTCTGAAATGCTGGTTGATCATCGGTTCATTAAAGCTAAATGTAAATATAATTTAAACTGAGTTATTTCACTGGATAGGTTATTCTTATTCGGTTAAAGTAAACCTGTCATGAGAGAAGCATGGAGGCTGCCATTGCCGACCTTCTGAAAAGTCAAAGCGATAGCATGACAGCCAAGCAACTAGCAGTTTCAGAAATAATGGTCAACAGTAATACAGATATTGTGCAGGTTTCCTGTTATTACTAACCTTTAAATAAATCTCATATTTTTGTTTACGTTTCTTCCTAATAGTGGTCGGTATGTATCTTGGGCTAGGATAGGCATAGATAGTACCAAGGCCGACCCTACCTTTTTAGCCTCCTGACGGGGACCGAGCTGTCTGCTGGGCAGGAGGCGGCAAGCTACGGGAGGCAGCGGGTGGCCGAGCCGTCAAGGGGGGGTGCTGTTAGTCGTCCAAGCTGCTGCCTGCCACCCCCCAATGAGATGCCACCTGAGGTTCCCCCATAATGGGGACACCCCTGGATACTAAATATTCTTAAATAGATTTTTCAAGTTGCAGGGCTATGATGTCTCACAGATGTAAAATATATTAATGGGGAGTGACTCTCATTGCCTTCCCTTCTGCTGTGAGTGAAATGGCTGGTTGAGACAGATCCATTGATACAAAGATACATCTTGAAAAAATAAAGGTCTAAGTATATAATGTATTATCAATCTTAGATTACCTGTTCATTAAAAAAATATATATTTGTATATACCGTATATTCTATCTATCTATCTATCTATCTATCTATCTATCTATCTATCTATCTATCTATCTATCTATCTATCTATCTATCTATCAATATTATATTCGGTTTGGGCCCATATAATACTTTGTAGTCCTTTAAATCTGTATGCCTATATTTTCTGCATATGAATGTTGCAGTGAAGTTCCTATTTATCCTTATCCTGTACCTCAGTATTCCAGCCATCTCTCATCATTTGATACATTCATTGTGCAATGATTTAGATATCAATAAGTTAGTTCCTTTGAGAGTCTGGAAGGCTTGCTGTGCTCATTTTGGTTTATGTTTCTCTTTCCAGATACTGCTGGCTACAGAACAAATTGCCAGTCTTGTAAAGCAGATCAGCAATGGCCACACTACTGCTGATGATTTCAGAAACAAGTAAGTCGTACGACTAAAGGGTATCTCTTACACATTTTTAAGTTCATATGTCAAGAGGTAAAGTGATATTAATGTCAAATGCTTTTTAAGCTATTTCAAATGCTGATGAAATCCCTTACAATGAATGCTGCTCTTTGATGTTTAAAAGTTTTAGTTTCCTGCAGAATCAGCTGGTTTCCTGAGCACTGGCTCTGATATCCTGTTTTAGGGTGGCTCATTTCCCTTGCAAGGTCCAAGGAGACACCCTTGTGTGTGCTAGTAGGCCACTCCCCTGCTTCCTGCTCCTCCCTCCACCCTTCTCTAAGGTAGTATATGGACATCTGCAGGAGACTGCTCTGTTAATTGTGATCTTGTACTACACTCCCTGGAGTTGGGACAGAGTATGCCGGACACATAGTGCCCACAGGTGATCTGAAAGCAGCGAGGTGTCAGCATTCCACCTGGAAACCGGAGAGTAATGGAGACCAGGATCAGCAACAGCTGCGTAGCCAGGCTAATGGGATGTCAGACAGGCATCAAGATCAGACACAGCCGGGTAGCAGAGGTACAAAGGCAGTAAAAAGAGAGCACTGTTGGGGTACAAGTTGGGGTCAGTAGCCAGGAATCAGAATATAGCAGAGTCAGGCAAGATGGGTCAAATCACAGGAAGGAAACACACAGACTCAGGTCACAGGGGGCAGGAGCTGATGATCACTCAGTAATTCTCCTCAATGGTGCTCATGGTTAAATAGTGCAGTGCACATTCAGCCACACGCACACACACTTGTATTAGCCAATGTAGCCCTTTGCCGTGAGCCATGTCCACATCCACTTGTTTGTCAGCCATGCATACAAGCACATCTTTGGGCATTGCTGCATGCTAAATTTTCTGGACAGATAGAGGAGAGGCAGTGAGACCAAAATACAGAAGGGGGCTGAATAGTCGAGGGGGGTTAGAGACCAGAAAGCAGGCCTGAATATCAAAGTGAGGCATCAATGAGATCAGATTGCCCCTTTGTGGGCAAAGATATATAATGGGGTAGCAGGTTTAATCTTTTCCTATTTTTATCTCTAACAAATTCCTGTCTAGGAATATGGGATGTAACTGAAAGTTTTTGAGTTATATTATAGATACAATTATAAATCAGATTATAGATAACATTACAAAAAAAGCATTACGGATAAATGATTTCCGCTTATTTGGACCTAGATCCAACCTGTAGTCAATGACAGATGTTAAACTACTTTCTTCCTTTCAAAGACCTGTCCCCTCCCACTACCCTTGCCAACATTTTTGTTATTGTGCTTGCCCTTTATGCTAATCCTCTGACTCTCTACTAAAGATGAGATGGGTAGGCCAGACATTGACTTTAGGAAAGAAGTCGACATTTGCATACTAGAGTGTCCTATATTTTAAGAGTCCTGGGACACTGAAAAGTACATTGTAAAATACAAGAAGTTGCCGAAAAGGTCCCTTTTTTTTCTTAAATGTTGCATTACTCTTAGAGGAACATTTTGTATGTATATTATCAGCATGTTAAATATGCTACATACTCATAGTCTGTTTTTGTAAATGGCCATGCCCTTACTTTGCAATTGTGCTGCCCACTCATGTCTGAAGGCTCAATTTGCAGGTGTCATGACTCAATAATAAAATGGCGAGCCATTGTTGAATCCCAAGTTAAGGAAAATGAATGCCAAGTGTGTTTAGGTGTATTTGCTGAATGCCATCAGGTTGGCTAATCTGCTGCTAGTCGTAGTGTTAAGGTAAGTAAGTTTGCTTTGCATAGTACAACTGCAAACCAAAATGTTGATGACATTCAGGTAAACACCTTGTGGTATATTAGTAGCTATTGCCTTTGTTTATCTACTGTATGTGATTTAGTTCCTAAGGTATTGCTCAGTCCCGGTTTTTTAACACAAAATGAGGAAGATGTAGACCACAGCTTTCCTACATCTCTTCTTTAACATTGAAGACCCTGGAGGTGTTTGTAATTATTGGGAAAACAAACATTTCATGAATTAAGCCTGAATATTTGTTAATTTATTATAGGTATTTATATAGCGCCGGCAATTTATGCAGCACTTTACATAGTACACATTCACATCAGTCCCTGCCCTCAAGGAGCTTACAATCTAAAGTCCCTATCTAACATGCGTACATACAGGGACAATTTGGAAAGAAGCCAATTTAACCTTCCAGCATGTCTGTGGAGTTAAAACTATGCATATGCAAAATATTAAATATATTGTAAGTAAATATCATAAAAATGTATCTAGGCAGGTCATTCAATCCTTAAATATCTGTTTAGATACCAAAATATGAGCTTTAAGAGGGGTAAGCTCTTACGCTCCTAAAACCAGAAAAGATCTTATGGTTTTTTTTTTGTGTTGAAGGGAAGAGATGAATTTTAAGATGAGGACACTTGCGGAGAAGGATCTGTGTGATCACACGGGCATACTTGAAACCATTAACATGGAAAAACAGAATCTTAATGCAAATATACAAAACCTCGAGGAAGAGTTGCAACAGCTAATGAAAACCAGCGAGGAGGTTAGATGGCAAAGTTGGTGAAAATGATGACTGATGGCTAATGATGGTGGTACAGCAACAATCATTATAGGTGTTGTAATGATGGTGTTCAACATTGATAATAACACTACTGCTTATGAGGATAGTTGTCACAATCAATGAATTGAAAGTCTGAAAGGACAAGAAAAGTATTGTGTGCAACCAATCACATAAATTTTTCTTCGGCAGATTAAAAATGTAATTTAATGATTAGGTTGCAATTAAGACACCTTACAATTATGGACTTTTGACACAAAGCTCTATGAGATTGTGACAGTGGTGTCATAATATTGTAAGCGTGTTAATGGTAAAGATGATACAGAGAATGTGTGGTCGTCAAATAAAGAGGTATAAGGGGCCTCAGTTTTAGTTTTTAGAAATCAACAAGGGCCAGTACAAAATATTCAGTATATGTAATATCTACAGAAGGCCGCATAAATACTACAGGAGATAGTCAGAGACTGTGGACATGCTATGGGAGTGGTTTGAGACTGGAAACATGTTACAAGAAGTAGAGACTGGGCATACGTTAAAGTGACATTAAAGTCAAAAAAATGTTTCCCTCCCCCAATGTTAGTGTTAGCACTTACCTTAAATGATGTCTCTTAATCCGATCTTCTTCTTCTTTCCTGATGTTTTCATCTGTCTCTCCAGCGGTGCGGCGCCTCTCCGATCCTGCGCTGACTCCTCTGTCCTTGCTGGTACTTCCTGTCCCACTGTGTCTGCATGCGGGTGCACGCGTCCATAGACTTACCTTGCGCCTCTCCTCGTCTCCCGGCTGAAAATCCAAACTGCGCATGCCCCAAGATGCTTTACGGCCGCCCGAGCAGTTTCAGATTTTCTGACGGGAGCGCACGGCTAAGACGGGGTAAGTCTAAACCGCCGCTGTTAAAGCGTTTTTTTTTTGTTTTTTTTTAACTTTTTGCATATATCTACTGCTTGCTAGCAGTAGACATATGCAAAAAAACAGAGGCTTTAGAAACCCTTTAAATTACACTTTTAGAGATCACTGCCAATTTAGTCCCTTTACAAACTTAATGTATCCTTTATTGACTGCGGGGATTCAAGGGCCTCACAACAAGTACAAAGGTTGCTAATAGGGGGATACAAACCAACCCTCTTGTACTGGGTCTGAGCCGCTATAAGGACAGCAGGGGGTCAACTACAAGTGATCTGGGCGGCTGCACCACCATCCGGATCACTTGTAATAGCTAGGGATTGTGCCCCCCCTACCGTGGTTTTCAGGGTCTCCCTGCTCCTCTGGGGGTCTGGGACCATGGAAAATGGTGTCAGGATGGAGAGTGGGAGCAGACTGAGGAATGTCCCTTCCCCTATTTGCTCTGTGATGAATGAAGGAGGAAGCACTTTGATCTCAGCACTTCCTGCTTCAGAGCGGTCACAAATCCGGTTTATGTGCCGGGTAAGCACATGATCAAGCACAATCCTGTGCTAGGTCATCTGTATTGGAGAGTAGGGGAGACATTAAGAACCAACCACGCTGCCCCACCATCTGCTTCAAATGAACACGTGAACGTAGGGCATGCACTTGTATGTAATGGTGGCCCTGCCTTAGACTACATGTTGGACACCAGGGATGTAGGAGTAAGAATGACCGATGCCGAAAGAGAAGATGATTGATTTTGATGTCACTTTACTAGGCAGCAGACTGCAAGATTTAGCCTGTATATCGTCAGGTTGTAAAGTGTTAGCAGTCTGTTCAGAATGCATAAACACTTAGCAGTCTTACTGAACAGGGCTGATGTCAGAATAATTATAGTATGGTGTAGGCAGAATGGCCCATAACACATCGTATGAGAAAAGGTAAATCTTTATAAATGACAGTATAGTAATTTTGGAATGTGTAGAGTAGGGATAATGCAAAGCTGAATACAAAGTGAAGTTTTCCATTGAGCAAAAGGGGACATTTGAACATTGATTTACACAGAAATATTTTTCTTCCATAACAACTATTTCTTTCCTCAGAACAGATTAATAAGCCAGTAATTATATTTTTATACATTCATAGGAGATAAAGTGCCTTCAGGCTCAGCTGGGAACCAGAGTCAATGTTGAGGTTGAGATGACTCCTTCTATAGATCTTAATAAAGCCTTATCTGAAATTCGGAAGGAATATGAAAGCCACATGGAGAGAAATCTCAGTGACATTGAAAGCAAGTTCTATGATCTGGTAAACGTATATGTTTAATATACTTAATACATAATACAGCACTTAGTGCTCTTTGGTCCTTGGTCAAAACCCTTGTAAGTTTTTTGTTGCCATCTTTTTACCATTAGAGAGAACTCTCTTGACTTGTTCTGTAGACACAACAAGAAGAGATCTCTTCAAAATGAGGTAAATCCTCTTTTAGACAGTTGTCACTGGAAAAGGTGCCTCCCTGGAAGATTTATCCTCTATTCCTGTTCTAGTGACATCAGCAAGGACTGCCAGCTAAGCTGTAAAACTGCTAGAAAGCTCAAACTAAGGGAGTGAAGTGAGCCAAAGTACGTTCGGCTATTCAGTCTGGCTCAGTACATCGACTGTCCTCAGTCAGAGCATGTTTGGCTGAACCGAAGTGCAGAGGGACTTAGACTCAGCCGATCAAACATCTGGACATTCAACATTCTCATAGGGGCCGAACGGCAGTGAGTGAAAAGCCGAATGTCGCCGAGCAGCATTCGGCTCAGCTATTCTGCTTGGTACCTCCGATGTACCGAGCAAAATAGAAAAAGAGTGAAATGAAAAAGAAAAAAAAAGAGTTGAAAAATTGTTTTAAAAATGTAAATAAATAGGAAAATTAAAAAAGAATGAAAATAGTTTCAAGAAAAAAATAAATAATAATAATAATAAAAAATGCCGGCAAAGATGCTGGCAAAAGATAAACAATTGGGCGGAGCAAGCAGTGACCGTTAGCTCTGCCCAACTGTTTCCTATTGGCCGGCACCTGCCAGAGTCTTCTAGCAGATCCCGGCCAATGTATAACAGCTGTTGTTATTGTTTAAGTACAAATGAGTCATTTGGGGAAGCTGATCTGTCATTATAACTGGACGGAGCCAGCCGTGAGATCACGGCTGGCTCCGCCCAGATGTCAATTGAGTGATTAGCTCGGCTGCTGTACGGGCTAGTGTGAATAGCCTGTACAGCAGCCCTTCGGTTCGACTGAACAGAAGGGCAGAGGCGGTTGCAGAGAGCTGAAGGAACAGCCGAAGCTACGGCTGTATCCTTTGGCTCCACAGTGAATAACCCCCTAAGTCTTCCACATGGTCCTGTTGCAAAATTAGAAAAGTGCAAAATATAAGGGGAAAATGGCAAGGGAGGGAGCACCTAGAGAAATATATATGCCAGTAACTGGACAGCATAGTGTGTAGGGAAGCACACCCTGGCATCTTCAGCTTGGGTGCTAAAGGTTCTTGTCCTGGCTCTGATGCCTTTTTATAATTTTTTTATTTTCTGGATATATTGCATAAGGATGTTGTCTTTACAAAGTCTTTAGAAGCGTAAAGGCAAATGTGTTCTTGCTGTTAATAAGTAAAAAGTAAGATTCACGGTATCCTGTATTGAGTAGAGGTTAGCAGGAGGAACCAGTGAGCGCTCTGAGGGACCCAGGAGATTGACACTCCCGACAGTGTTGGCTTCCCTGCGGACTATAGATAAAGATTTCTACTGAATGGAATGGTGATCTGATGGCGGGGAAGCTATTTAAATGCATATTTTGTAATTAAACTTGCTTCTGAAAGCTTCATCTACTTTATTTAGAGGGAAAAAAATTGTTTTTTCTTTAAGGTTGTATAAAAAAAATAGAAACATTGTAATTAGTTGTTCTTGAGACCCACGGTAAGTACAATGTATCAGTGTTTGCTTACATTTTAACAATCACTGAGCAGAAATACTTGTTTCTGCTGGCCGATGGTGAAATAGCTACTGATAGCAATTCTGTTACACAGATCAGGACCTCAACTTCAAACCGATATCAGGTCCCCATAGCTATGTGCTCATACCAAGGAATCTATGACATACAATGTCCCAGGTCCTTGCCAAATAATAAGCCCACAGATGACCTAAATAAACATCTCTTAGCATGTATTGCTCAGTGTCAACCTTTCCTTGTAATTTCTCTACTAAAATAATGTTTACTTTGCAGACCTCTGAACTGAGTATGATGTCCAGTAGTATCGACCAGCTGCAGCAGTTTAGTAATGAGGCTATTGATCTAAAATTGCAGAAGAAGACTTTGGAGGCTGAACTGAAAAAGCAAATGTCTATGGTAAGTCTTAGTTCTAATTGGTGCCTCAATAACAGCTTACAACTCAGAGATTTACAGCTTTTAGGAGAAATTACATTTTATTGGTACAGGTATTCATAGAAGAGCAGGTCTCTCACCAAGGACAACAGGCAGGAATACTCCTGAGTTTACTCCATTGTATTGGGAATCTAAAATGAACTCTAAGCTTTATTCCACCAGGAGGATTATTAAAGCACTATCTTATGAGCAAACTTTCCAATCTTAGAGGGAAGGGTTTTCTCATCTCCCACCACTCTACAAAGTGGTTGTATATTTTATGGAAAAGTTAGTGGCATGTGGTGATTACAGTTCTATGCAGAGATGCTGAGAAATACTGGTTGAATTAAAAGCTGGTACTGAGATGTTTATGTCATTCCAACTACTCACACCAAATGCACCATCTGCTTCTGGTGCAGTGATAAGATATTGCACTATTCACTATGAAATGTTTTCCAGATATGAATTGATAGATTAAAGTGATTGCCAAATAAAAATAGACCTTTAAAATGCTTGATTGTACCTACAGAAAAGTAAAAAGCTGGTAGCAGAGCCATATTAATTAATGCACCACTATTACTATGACACCTTATACCCCATAACTCTGCACCACTCCATACACCTCAATATATTTAAGAGGTGGTGGAACATTTGTTGTGTAATATTTAGCTTTTTCCTGATGGCTTACATAAGATTGTGATGGAGGTGGCAATCTGCCACCTCTTGTCCTCTGGTATATATAACATGTTGTGTGGCAAAAATGCAAAGCCAGTGAAGAGGATTTCAAAAGAAATCTAAACGCTGAACATCTCTTAGAAATCTGGGACGCTGTAATTGGTGTCCCCTGCCCAGCTCCTAGCAACCAGTGACATAACTGGTTGCCAGTAGCTGAGCGGGACTTCAGCCAGCACGTCCCTCTCAACTTCTGGTAACCTTTGACATCACTGGTCGCCAGAAGCTGGGCAGCAGACACTGGCTACAGCATCCCAGATTTCTAAGAGCTGGGCAGGGGGATGTGTATGGCCCATAAACATCTCCCTGCCTGGCTCTTAGCAACTTGGGACGCTCTGGTCAGCAAGGCGGCCTCATTATCGGGCCAGTCCTGGTAAGAGACAGTAAGGAGGGAGTTGCAGCATCACCAATAGGTGTAATTCAGGTGTAATTCAGGATAAAAGGGAGTGGGATAGACTGCTACAGTACACCCAGATAGCAAGGATAACTTGCCACAAACTTGTGGCAGGGTTAAATTTTAATTCTTGTTAACTTGCCGCACACATTCCTGGCAAGTTGTAGTTGACACTTTTTGAATTTGTAGCAAATTTGCTTGGCAAGTCTACAGCAAGAGTCCTGCAGGTCTTAGCAAGAGCTCTGCAAGTTCGCTGGTCTGGAGACTTGCAATGCAGACTTGCAATGCAGACTTGCTGTAATTGTGCAACAAAATTGTGAAGCTTGGCAAGTCTGCAATAGTTTAGCAAGCCATTTTCAAACTTGCAGCACAATTTCTTGCTATCTGGGCAGCCATGTCTGAATTAAAAATTGAACTTTTAAGTGAGTACTGAGTAGGCTCCTCTCCGTATATGAATCTCACATTTGTATGTGTTTAATTTTTTATTTGATTTGGGTGTTCCTTTAACACTCCTTTGTTGTACACATTTCTTGATTTTGATGTTTTTCAGATATCAGTTCAAAATTCCACCTTCATGGAGATCAATGAAGGGTACAGTTCCCAACTCAAATATCATCAAGATGTGATAGATATTAATGAACTGCAGATGGAAGAAATACAATCCAAAGTGAAACAATTAAATGTTGAGTATGAACTCAATGCAAATACCAAGATCTTCCTTGAGAAAGAAATAGCCACATACAAGAAGCATCTTGAAGGACAGACCACTAAGTACGTATAACAGCCATGTGATTCTCTGTATTATATACTGTTAAATATATTAAATTATGTACGGCACCTGGAGTAGACTTGATATACTGTAAGGCTCCAACATTAGAGCTTTGAAGAGGTAATTATTTAAACATTTTATAAAAGTTTACAATCAAGAGTATTTTTATTATACGGTTTATATAGCTTATATATTTTACATACATCAAACCATAGTTTTTGAGCCCCAGTAGGGTTACCAGATTATTTATGGCCCCTGTTTCGCAAAAAAATTGTAAAACATGTTCACTTTTAAAAATGTTGACCTGCAAATGTTTTAGGGAGGATCATTTTGAAGTTTATATCGGAACTTTGGATATATTTTGATTACAGGTATTTATATTGCGCTAACAATTTACATACTTACAATCTACGGTACCAATCTCATATGCACACACACTAGGGTCAATTTAGACAACAGCCAGTTAACCAACTGGGATTTCTTTGAAGTGTAAGAAGAAACTGGGGTATCCAGAGGAAGCCCCCTCAAGCACAGGGAAAACAAGTAAATACCATGTAGCTGAAGCTAGATATAAACCAGGGCCCCCAGAGCTGCAAAGCAGAAGTGCTATCCACTTAGCTACCAGCTAAGAAAACTAAACCAGTTGTCTTGATATCAGCCTCTTGTAATCCACTGTACAGTAGCACTAAGGGTGCCCATACACCTTTGGAGTTTTTGAGGAACCGGACGAATTTCGCACAGTGTGTGCCGCTGTCGGCACCCTGTCGGTCGGCATTCCTCGATCAGCTAATCGAAGGAGCTGGCCAGAAAATCTCTGCATGATCAGAGCCGGCAGCCAATGAGCTGCCGGCACTGTTCAGGAATTCTGACAGTGGCCGCAATACAATGCAAAGTGTCAGATTGCTCAATTGAAACACTGGTATTGTTCATGGAGGAATCAGCTCTATTTTTTTTTGTTCAGCTAGCGGGTTGAATGAGAAAAATAGAGAAATGTATGTCCAGCCTTACTTAGAGAGGATAGACCATCCATTAAGAAGCAATGAGGCTCTGCTGCAGTGCACATATGCTGACAGTAACAACCTGACAGGAGGAGAGAACAGAATGATGACTTAATAGTCTCCTGTTGCTCTTCCTTCCCGGCATTTTGCTCTAAGGGAAAACAGATGTATAGAAATGTGTTCATATATTTGACATGGTTCTTCAACAAGGTGATATCCATATAGCTTCATACTAACTGATTCAGTATATATCTCATGCCATATTTATATAAAGCTCAAATATTCAGCAGTTATTCATAACATTTAAATAATCTTTCACATGCGCACTAATTACTTTCAATGAGTTCACAGTATAATGTCCCTATTACAGTCCCACAACCGCCAATATATCCTCTAGAGTAAGTTGAGTTTCAAAAATGGTTTTGAGGGAAAAGCAGAGCACTTATAGGAAACCTACATGGGATGAACATACAACATATACTGTATTTGTACTGGTGAGATTTAATCCCAGAACCTCAGAGTACAAGTCATGAATGGTAAGTCCAACGCTAAATGTTTTTTATAAATACATTTGTGTTATTTACTGTGCCATTATTCTGCACAGCTTGTGTCGCATTATGCCTGTAATAAAGAATGCCTTACCTCAAGTATTAGAAATGGGTTTTAACCTGGGCTGTTCTTATAAGTGCCATGATGCCTTTGGATCATTGTGTTGACACAAATATTTGTCTTATTTTAGGCATTCTTTCTGGTCTAACAGTGAAGAAAGTCAATGGCTTTGATGTCAAGAAGTTAGAACTGTTGGAATTTTAAACCTCACATCTAGAACGTATTCTTCTGATCTTCACTTTTCTTTCATAAATATAAACAGTGATTCAGAAAGTGATGTATATATATTGTTGGAAAGACCGGTTCCATTCATGGGTACATGAGTGAAAATGTTTTTCCACAACTCAGCCTCTGGTCACTTCTGATTATGGTAAGACATACATGAGTACTTTACAAAAATATCTCTTAAGGGAGATACAATTCCTCTGTCATACAGTATAACCTCTGAAACTCTTTTGATTGACATAAACCCTAGGCAATGGATGATCCTGAAATATCCTTGTGGTGAAATAAACTATGTTAATTAAAAGGAGTGAACGACATTCTGTTACGTTTTGATGATAAGAGTCCAATTGGCTACCACATCTATAAAGAATGTGCTGCCACTTAAAAGGAGTTGACAAATGCTGTGTGAAAATATTTAACTGCAAAATTCTATATCCCTTGATAACTCTGACCTAGCAGGTCAAGTTTTCTTGTATAACCATGGTGGGTTATAGGAATAGGAATATATCTAAATATGTACATAGGATTTTTATGTGTATGTGTACATTTGTTTATGAATTTCAGATTGTATATATACACTGTATATAATTAGATCCAAACTATACTATATATATATTTTACTTTGCAGAAATCTTGTTATAGTGAAATAGTGATTTCAGTAGTGTTGGTAAAATTATATAGTGTTATAAATTTCTCTTTATGGATTTGGCAAATCATCTGTTACCTGTTTCAATACTGATATGAACACAGAAAAGCGCCAAAAAGGACTACTCCGCCAGTATGGACCAATATAAGCACAAGTGTAATCAGAAACAAGTCTGTTAAAAAATATATAAATAATAAAAAGCACGTGTGCAGAAAGGTCTGCAGGATGCTGCCCCCAAACCAGCCAGGGAGACCGCAAAGTCTGGTGGAAAAAAACACAAACAGGGGGCGCCTTTCCTGGTGCAGACAAATTTATTAAGATCAGGATCAAAGGTAGATAAAAAACATACTCACAAAATTCAGCATGATAATGATATAAAAAGTAATCATGCTGAATTTTGTGAGTTTTTTTTTAATCTACCTTTGATCCTGATCTTAATAAATTTGTCTGCACCAGGAAAGGCGCCCCCTGTTTGTGTTTGTTTCAATACTGAAAATGACCAAAAGTCATCCTGCCAACTAAAGCACACCATTCCATGTGTGTTTACATTTTATGTTCAGACTTTTTTTTAGATCATAAGAACACTAATTTGTACATATTGACCAATCTCAGATACACTTGATATAGTGAAATAGTGATTCCAGTAGTGTTGGTAAAATTATATAGTGGTATAAAGTTCTCTTTATGGATTTGGCAAATCACCTGTCACCTGTTTCAATACTGAAACTGACTAAAAGTCATCCTGCCAACTAAAGCACACCATTTCATGTGTGTTTACATTTTATATTCAGACTTTTTTTAGATCATAAGAACACTAATTTGTACATATTGACCAATCTCAGATACACTTTGTGTAGACTGCAATCATTTATACTGCTCTATAAGTACAGACTGAGGTTTAATAGCCCATATGAACTCAATCCAAACCATAAATGCTCTTAAGCCTCCTGGTAGAGGACAATGTTTTCATATTGCCAGAATGGAACAGCCTGAGTTTATTACATAAGAATTGCACCTTTTTTTTTACCAATGTCTAACATAAGCTAGGTAGTCCCGATCATTCCTTCTCTTTACCTCCCATTATTAAGCCTGATCAGAACGGTTGTGTCTATTCACAACGAGCACAGGCATTCTTCTTAGCATAATTGGAGCAAATACTTTAACTTATCCATGTCCACTAGAGTAGACCATGTCACAGCCAACACCCACACCAAATGTGATTTAAAAACATAAGATCATAAGTGAAACAGCTCAAACAAACAAAACTAGAAGGTCTCAATGGAATTAATCACACATTGGACAGCTTATATCTATGTTACAGTAATTACATTATTTGAACAGAAGTAACATGCACTAGCAACATACCTGGCCATATAACAAGAATATACCTACAAAGGAATTGCCACCATAGAAATGTAACTATCAAGGACACACAGAAAGATGGATATTGGCAAGTGGGATGATAATGCAGAATTGGGATCCAGTTCTAATATTTGAATTGGATTTGTAAAATTAGAGGTTTCATAATTGAGAGGTAAGGTGGCAGTGGAGGTATTAGTCATCTCACCATTTTCAATATGTCCCTTTAAGTCTTGTATTCACACTTTTGGTAATAAAGTGTGTGTGTAAAAATGTTTGTTTAGTTTTTGATAGAGTAGGAATAGGCTACTACCTGTTTCAGTTTAATTTTGCTGTATCCCACTGGGGAGATTTCCCTTCATTTCATGGACAAAGATGTGATAGGAATTGAAAATAAAGCTCTACAAGGTGATAAGAATCCCCCTCTTAGACAGCTGCCACCAAAACAGGTTTCCTTATTGGAAGATTTCCGCTCACCTCTTGTTCTGTTGACATCTCTCAATTGTTGAATTTTCAATTACTGACAATGGTCACCGTGACAAATACAGCGGGTGAATCTACCCAGCAGTGACACAGAGAGCAATACAAATTTGACGGGGTTCTAATTCTTCCCTACTCTATTCAAACATGGACAAAAACGTTTTGGCTACATATACAACTTAAATGGCTACTGACAATCAGGATTGTTTAACAAAAGAACAGAAACACAAAGAGCAGCTGTGTGTAAAAATGGCCAAATGCAAATTTTAATACCTGCAGAATATTTCAGCTCCAGTACTCTGTGCTGGAATAGCACAAACTCTTTAGACAATTACATTATATAAAATCCACCTCTACTGATCAAGCCACTTAGGCTAGGCAGAAATAGAGGTCCAAGAAGTCATGAGAATTTGTCAATACCCCACTTTTTTGGGGTCTGTTTTCAACCACAATAGTAGTCCAAAATCCACCGCACTCCAGATCAAAATCCCAATATGAAGGTGGGTGCTGGTGTAACCTGCAGATGGCACTGCATGTATTACCCGCACTCCAAGATCCAATGTGCACAACACCTTTTATTGAGATGCTAAGCAATCATGGTGCCACAGTGGGAAAAAGTAAAGTTTCGGGACCGTGAATGATCCCTTCATCAATGTGTTGCCTGATGAAGGGACTATTTGCTGTTCCGAAAAGTC